CGTTGACGGCAGCACTCACCGCCCGCCGGCCTCGGTGCAGCAGCGCTCGCTGCAGCCGCTCCCGCCCCGGACAGATGCAGCTGCCGGGCCCTCGTTCCCAAATTGGCACTGATGAGGCGGATCGTGATAGGATTTTTAGCGGGTGCAGAGATATTTTTTGATAGGCCTGTTGGGCAGATGCCGTAGAACATGCTGCACTTCTCTACTTAACAGTCTTCCCCTTCCTAGGCTAAAGATATTAGGCAATTTTATTTTATAGTGCCGTATTTTGGGCTTGTGTTTCAAATTTCTTTATGGTTTGCAAACAAAGATGTAATTACATAATGCAGTCTGCTCTACTTTTAAAATAAAACTTAAAATTCAGAGCGTTAATCATTAAGCATTTTTAATTTTATTGTCAGTGGTTACCATAACACTGCAGGAATCCCAGGAATTAGTATTTAGGTCTTGTAGAATTTATTGTATCAGGAAGATGGCACATAAATCACTAGTCACAGTAGTTATAAAGGGAATCGTGCCATTTGCCTGTAGAAAAGCAGCTCTAATTCATGCAATAGAGGGTGCAATCACATTTGGAAAAGACAGCAAAGAGCACTGTCTGAGGCAAGTAGGGTTCAGATAGGGGACAAGTTCATATAAAGCCCAACAAGAAATTGTGAGAAATTGTGATAATCTTGCAGCACACAAGGAAAGGCACAAGAGACCACTTCACATTCCTATTGCCATGGATTTCTTGCCACCTGATCTGTGTTGTTCAACTGTTTTACATCAGTTTGGCCATGATATGGGTCAAGTATTCTTCATCAGTGTTTATGTAATTAAACAGCAGTGAAAGGGACCTGTGTACAACACTTAGGGTTATTGACTCACAGCATGACATTGGCAGGGCAGAAAGGGGTTTGTACTTGTCTAAATGAAAAGTGGGGTTTGGTTCCTCAATCCTCAAATGTTCTTCCTCAAAAACCACAACCCCAAACCCCACGTCCATAGTCCCAGCCAAACTCTTCCCTTCTCTGCTTCCTAAGACAGGGCTATATGTAAGCACCTTGTTCCTAAATTGACCCTAAGGTATGATTGTGCCAGATTAGGTAAAACTGAGCAAGAAATTTATCATGCTCTGGCATTGTTGCACTGTTGTCAGCAATTTGATACCATACATCTTTTCATCTCCTCCCCTGTCAAAATGCTCATGCAAGATAAACTAAACAGAGATGAGAGAGTCAATCCAATGCCATAGATGTCATATCTGAGTAATGGAATAATGTCAAAAATACACCTATTTGTCACAAACAGCATGTGTTCTATGCCAGACACCACTGCAGGCTTCTATTGAGGATAAAACAGGTTCCCCATTTCACATACCCAGTGCCCTTGGCAGATTGAAGCTAATTTGGTACTGGGATATCCCTCACCTGTCTGTGCTCAGCTTTTCCTTTTGCTTCCCCAGATATGAAGCTTCTGGGTCTCCACCAACCCAGCCTTGCCACATGCCACTTCTCAGTGCTGATCCACATGGCTGTGGCCACACCAGGATGCTGTGTCTGCACCCAAGTCTCATCACAATATCCACAATATTCACTACTCCACTTGCTGCCTATTGAGAGAACAAACTGGTTTTAGAAGCCACATTCATAATGAACTGATTAAAATCACTGCAGTTGCTCTGGAAGAAAACAATCACATTCTCATTCAAAACAACCCATGCTAGAGCTCTGCAAACACTGGGAAGATCAAAACAGCACTTAAGAGTCCTATCCCTTGTCAGCAAGGATGACTTTTTGTTCCACCTGGGCAGGGAGAGTGGGTTATATCACTAATGCTGGCAAGAGTCATGGCCATGATTTTTCCTCATAAATGTATTTGAGATATTAAACTCATCTTTATTCCATGGTCAATTAAATAAAATTGTCTGCTCAAAACTTAAACAGATTAACTCTTACACCATTTAGCACAGTTCGTCCATTTGGGGACAGTGGGACAAGTAACTCTAGTCCTTCCCAGGATAACAACAAAGGAGAGAACAAAAGCAATTCCTGCTGTGCATTCATTTATTAGCATCCTTTGGGTTTTAGACAAAACAGAAACCACAAATCTCCTCTCCTCTGTGAGCTTGCACATAAATTGCTGTTGAAATGTAAAGTTACTCATTTACTTTGTACCAGTTTAACCCAACAACGTTCAAAAGAGCAGGTTTTGGTGGTGAATACCTACTGCTATGAATCTGTGCTGTTCCCTCCTAACTTCTCTGGGTGCAAGATGCTTTGCATTCACTAAACACTTTTGTTAAGTCCTTCCACAAAGCAGCTTCTGACAGCATATTAATCTCTGCTCATTTACAGTTTGATGTTAGGCTCACTGTTTCATTTGCCAGCAGGCCTCATTATTTGCCTTGCTCAGATCAGACCATTCCTCTGTTTCTTGGAAACCTCTCTTACTATCCCCATAATCCTTTCCTCTGAAGCAGACATTAGCTCCAGTCGAGTGAAATTCTGTGCAAGACACC